TTTATTGACTTAAAGAAAAATTCAGCCAAATACAATATGTGTATATTTTACACAAATCACAATTCTACGAATGAAAACAAAAGTGAAGTTGATAAGCTTGTCATGCATCTTCTGGTGGGAGACTCCAGCCGCCGGGCACCAACTCAGTCAGTACCATGGGGGTCAGGAGCAGAGGACTCCACTGCTGGTGGGAGAGCCCAGCTTCCAGTCACTGTCCCCTTACCATGGGGGTCAGGAGCAGAGGACCCCACTGCTGGTGGGAGAGCCCAGCCTTAGGTCACCATCCTGGTACCATGGAGGTCAGAAGCAGAGGACCCTCCTTGGGACGGAAGCCCCTGTGGCTGTGACACTGGGCTCAGACACCGCGTCATGTGAGGGTGGTGGGGATGAGGCAGTGTTGTGCTCTGTCACGTGAGGTCCCTGTGAGTGAGAACTGACATCATCGAGTAAAGGACACCCTGTGAGCGGCGGGCCTGACCCCTGCCCTGCCTGTGCCACCCTCACCACCCCCGATACAGGCGAGCATTGCTCCAGCCACGGCGTGAGCCCATCTCAGGAGGGCCCCTCCCGTTGGCTGACCCTCAGCCCTTCCAAGCATCCTTTTCCGAGGGCTGGCACGGGGACGAGGTCTTGAGGGGTGTTGGCTTTGTTGGCAGGACACCATGGCCCGGCCCTGCCCCTTGGTCACCTTCCTCACTTGCCCCCGGTTTGGCATTGGCAGCCAGAACCTTCTCCGGCTCGGGGCCTCCTTGGGGTTCTCTGGACCCTCCCAGATGCCCACCCTCAGCAGAGCCGAGCGGCAGTGTGGTGAAGGCCGTGTCCTCCGACTGTGTGGACCGTGGCCTCTGATAGCAGTAGCCGTGGGCTCTGTCATGCAGTGTGTCTGTCGTGCAGTGGGGTCTGTCGTGCAGTGTGTCTGTCGTGCGGTGTGTCTGTCGTGCAGTGTGTCTGTCATGCAGTGTGTCTGTCGTGCAGTGGGGTCTGTCATGCAGTGTGTCTGTCGTGCAGTGGGGTCTGTCGTGCAGTGTGTCTGTCGTGTGGTGTGTCTGTCGTGCAGTGGGGTCTGTCATGCAGTGTGTCTGTCGTGCATTGGGGTCTGGCCCCCTCCCTGACCAGAGCTCTCCTCCTGCAGTGCCTGGCTGCCGGCTCCATCATCATGAACCGGGAGCTGGAGAGCATGGCCATGCGGCCTCTGGCCAAGGAGCTGACCCGCAGCCTGGAGGACGTGCGGAGCACCCTGCGGGACCAGGCGCTGCGGGACCTCAACGCCTACACGGAGAAGATGCGGGAGGCGCTGCGCCACTTTGACGTCCTGTTTGCCGAGTTTGAGCTGAGGTGACTGCAGTTGTGCGGTGGGCGCTGTGTGGCCTTGGCTTCGTGCGTGGGGTGGGAGGAACCCTGAGACTCCCTCTGTGATGAAGCCAGGACATGCCCCAGGGAGGAAGGGAGGCTGCATCCAGGCTCCCGGGAGGGAGGTGGCCCTGCGCGTATGTCCTCGGGGTCCACGCTCTGGCATCTGCACTGCTCCTGCTGACACACCTGGCCCCTTCAGCCTCTGACACACCTGGCCACACCTGGCCCCTTCAGCCTCTGACACACCTGGCCCCTTCAGCCTCTGACACACCTGGCCCCTTCAGCCTCTGACACACCTGGCCACACCTGGCCCCTTCAGCCTCTGACACACCTGGCCACACCTGGCCCTTTCAGCCTCACGCTGCTTCCTGAGCGCTCCCATCCGACCTCCCACCTCTGCTGTCCCGGCTCTCCCTGCACCTCAGCTGACTGCCCGCTGCTCCACAGCATTTGCTGGCCCCCTGCTTTATGAGCTGGGGTGCGGGCACCAGCTCCTTGGGATACTGACAGCGGGACAGGAGAGTCGAGAGTGGGTCATGATGTGGCCCTGCCTGCCACATGCTCACAGACATGTCCCTTACACGTCCCCTATGTGTATGCACACCACAGCCATATATCCTTATACGTGTGTGCACACCCCATGTACACGCCACACTAACGTACAGACACAGAGCACACAAATATACGTCCCATAGATGCACCCTGCATCCACGTATATACAAACCCGCACAGACAGCACACACGTCTGCCATAGACATGCGCACACACAGACATGTACCTCCCCATAGTGTATGCATTCACACATGTACACACCATACATCCACATACAGATGCATGGCGCACATGCACACACACACAAATACCCTGTGTTGTTGTTGTTATGTGCCGTCTAGTCGTTTGCGACTCATAGCGACCCTGTGTACAACAGCCCTAAACCCTGCTCTATCCTGTGCCAATCGCATTGCCTCTGACACATCCATCCCGATTACCCCAGTCACTGAATCAATCCATCTCATAGAGGGTCTTCCCCTCCTGCACTGTCCCTCCACCCTACCGAGCATGATGTC